AGGTTAGGTCAGGTTATGTTAGTTACAAATATCTTTCAATTAGCATAATCTGACCTAACCTAACCTAACAAATACTGAATTCACGAGACAAAGAAAAATGGGTACTGAGATAACAGGAAAGTACCCAATAATCTTGTCTACAGCAATGTCCTCCATACATGATGAACATGCTTTACTGTGCAAGTGGTACCTTGCAATTTAATCCATTGCTGGACCAGGGTTAAATTGCAAAGCCGTCAAAATGCAAGACACTTTGAAAAATTAAGAAATAGAAGCACAAAAAAGTGGCCAAAGCAGGATGAATTCTGGAGCACAGGTTGAATTGAAAGTCAACCTCCCTGCAAATTTGACTGCCAAATTGTGGGATGGTCAAATTGCAAGGTACCACCTGTACTGTACAGCAATCACAGTAAAAGTATAGGTGGTATCTCACAATTTGATCTTTTGCACTTTGACTATCTTGCAATTTGATGGTCAAATTTGCTTCTAGGTTGACTCACAATTTGACCTCTCTCCCAAAATTTGACCTGTTTTAGCCTCTTTTCTTGTGTTTTTGTGCTGTTTGTCCTTGATTTTAAGGTGTCTCACAATTTGACCATTTTGCAATTCAAGTCTTCATCAAGCAATGGATTAGGGTCAAATTGCAAGGCACCAATTGTATACAATGGTTGGTTGACAAGTTTCAAGACTTTAAAATGTAGACCCAACAGAGTTTCCATGATTTCAAAAAAAAAGTTCTTGAGTAGCCCCATCATTTGAAAACACTTCAGTGCTCTTCAGCATGCTCTCGGCAAATATCAGTGAATATTTTCATTCAATGAATCCAATCACCAGAAAAGTGCAAAAATTCAATGCCTTTTTTTCTGCTCCAAATGGATGTCCCAGCAAATTTGAACATCAAATTGTGAGATGGTCAAATTGCGGGACATAGAATTGCAATAGGTACCTCCTCTATATCCATGTATGCCAGTCCGGGATAAAAACGAAGGTGCGAGTCTTATTAGCGAAGAATGTGCGACACTTGAGTTAATTAAATACTTAATTATCTTGGAGTAAAGTCATTTTTTCAGGGAATCAGTGCAGTTATAAATCCACTTTTGCTTTTTCTGGTTCATTTACAGAAGACGTGGATTGCGCGTCTATGAGTGCCGACAGCTGCTGCTCCTGGGACGGTGGCGGCTGCTCGGAAATCGCGCCGGATATCTTGACCCCGGATGACCTGATGCAAGACGACCAGCTCGAGTGCTTCACCAAGCAGGAAATCCTGGAATTGTGGCGCAAATCCGAGCGCACTTTGCGGCATCATTTGCAGCGATTGTCTCAGCAGAAGGCGGCCCTGGAAGCCAAACTCGCTTCGAGCAACGCCGCCGCCGCCGTGGTGCCGCCACCGAGGCGCCGCCAGGACGACATCACGTGACGTAACGTGAAGCCGCTGATCCGTCGAATATTTCTACGATCCTCCTAAATGTCTTTCTCTTGCTCGTTTTCGTTTTTTTTTTCTATGTGCTCTTCTATGTGTACACGGTTTGCACAAAATGATACACACGTCACATATGAATTAGAATGCGTTAAAACTTGGCATACCAACACTTCTAGTACCGCTGAAGTACTGTAGATTGCATAAAAAAATTTGTCTCACACCGTAATCAAATTTGCCAGGAAAGAATTCTCAAAACTTCCGCAAGTTTTGCGTGTAGATGTTTGAAACTGCTTTCGAAGGCCAGGGAAGAATTTGAAAAGATAACATCAGAACACAATGGCCCCTTGTTCTGACAAAAATGTTCATATTTTCAGAAAATTTTGAGCTCAACAATCTAGAATTTAGGTTTTTATGGTTTATCGACGATTTTAATGGCTGAAACAGATCACATAAGAAAAAGTCATCAAGAATAATTCTTCCACGCATTGTTTTTGCAGTCGAAGAACTATACACATCTTTCTTAATGGTAATTCAAAAATTGAATTTTGAAGCACATTTTTGAAATAGCAGTGAATTTCAAGTTTTCAACCAATGGGTTGAATTTTACTGGTGCAGCACTGTGCTCAAGGAACTTCGAAAAGTAGGATTTGAATTTTAATTTTATGTATCATATTTTCATCTTGAATTGAAATACCATGAAGGGGAAAACAAAAAAAAATCGAATGACTTTCGATGAATTTTTAACTAATTATCCTGGTTTCGATCTATATTTATCTCCTATAGGTAAATTTTAAAAGTAATCAAATGCCCTCAGTTATTTCTTAAAATGCTTCGAACGAAATCAGTCGCGACAGTTTTAGAACTCAACTGCTCTTGAAAATCGTAATCCACTAAAAGACGAATTTAATGGGTAAAAATTAGTTCTGGGCTACGTCGCAATGCCCATATATAAAATGATATAAAAAATATACTATATAAAAAGGCTCATATATAAAATGATATAAAAAATCCACTAAAGAAGGATTTACAAGCTTTTCAAGATGAATTCCAGATTCGATCTAAATTGGAAAGAATTGCCTTTCATTCTAGTGTTGATAAGATAAATAAGAAAATCTTCCTTTTTGGCCCTGTAAATTTTGAAATGTCATTTTTCTTGAGAAATGTGAAGGTTTTCCACGTGTTTATGTATTAGGCCACATTTCCTGAAGAAAATTAAAAATTCGCTTTCTATCCATGCATGATTTATGCGTTCAAAGTCGATTGACTCCGCATATATGAATTTTAAAATCCTGAAAAATTAGCTTCATCAGAAAAAAAAGATGAGCGTTGCATATAAAAGTTGCACGACTGAACACGCGGCTTTCTCGAACGCTTTTCTTGCTCATGCTGGCTTCTCTTGTAAAAAAAAAAGAAGAAAAGATCGAGGTCTGAGCTTTGTCATCTCTTTGTTATATTCTCATTCTTTCCTTTCTTTTACTATCTCGCCAAAAAAAAAATTCACTGTTCCGTCACCAGCGCGCTTTGTTGATCGATGTTTCCAGAAAGTTTTTCCGACACTGGAAATTGTTTTTTGTGCCTCGAAACTGTTTCGTCGGTCGAGTGCGTTTTCTATACTGCCAATATTTGGGAAAAGAAACCGAAGAGGAAGATATGAACTTTCAAAAGAAAGAAAGGGGGAAAAAAGAGGCGATTCTGATAGAAAGTGGATTGAAATTTTGAGAAGAGAGAAAAAAGATGTTAACCAGAGTTCCGCCGAAATTGCCCGGGAAATAATTTTTTGGAGGTTTAAGAAACTTATCTCGAAGAAGTTTCGCAATATTCATCCACAGGGAGGAGGGAAAAGTCGGTTGAAAAAAAAACGAAATCTTTGCCTTCCACCACATTTTCCCGTTTTTGCATTTCCGCACCCAATCATGAATCTTAAAACAAAACCACAACAAAATGCTCACGTTAGACTCGGATTGAAAAAAAAAAAAAACAAGAAAAAGGCGCGAATATCGTCTCAGGGGATATTCGTTTTGCTAAAAATCTGTTTTGCCAAATGGTGCTACGTATTTAGGAATTCGTTCGCCTTCGTCTTTTTTTCTTTGTTTCTTCGGCGAGAAAAAGAAAACTTTGGGCCTGGAAGCAGGGCTGTGCAGGGCAATTATTCCGGTTTTTTAATGCTGCTTTCTAGAAATTATCGCGAATGAGTCTCGCTCGGGAATGCCAATGAAACCTCGTCAGTCAAGTGTAAATACAGTTTTCTTTCAAGATTGTTTGAAAACGCTGCCGTTTTAAATTCTGTATAAGTCATAGCTTCTTCTCACTTCGACCTTCGCGAAACGGTGCTATTAATCTTTTAATAAAAATTTACGTTGGTTACGGTTGCCCCTTCAATTTTTTGACTGAAGTATGTTACATCTCACATGTGGGGTTTTGAAGTGGGTAACAAACTTTTGAATCCCGTAAAGTGTTGAGCTTCCGATTGTGTGGTGCATCTTATTACTAATGGGAAGTGGCGTCTACTTTCATTTATATAATTTTCATGGCCTATATAAAATTTCCGGGCATGAACATGAATTATTTCTGCCCTCTTTCAGAACTGTATTACCTTCAAGTACAATGCGCACATTAATTTTACAGAAAAAATGTAGGTGAAAATATTACAATATCCATGCAGTATTGCACACAACGTAATTTTCTTATTGAATAGAAGTTGATAATGTGGAATAAACCCACTTAAAAATTGTAAATTGTCTTTTTGAGCTTCGAAGTGTTTCAAATTTTAAAACCTTTTCACTTCCATTTGCAAATAATGAGATTTGAGTATATACCGATAGAACCTTAAAATCAAAATTTTGGAAAATATTATTTTTACTTGAGCAAGATACAAGCCTCCCATTTTTGAGTAGAGTTCCAGGAATGAGTTGCATGTGGTACTGGAGTGATTATTGTAAGTTTCAATGTTTATTTACAACATTGACTGCTGACAGCGCAAGCTCATAAATAAAATATGTAGCTAATTCATCAGAATTCGCAGAGTTCTGCTGCAGTAATTTGAGTCAGTGTATAAATTATTCAAGCAACACCTGCCACAAGTAAAGTATATAAAGCAAGGTTTGAGTTGAACAGATCCGAAACAATCTTCAAGTGATTGACTCGTAAAACATTAGGGGGTCCTAATTAAAAATTGCTCCAATTTAACCGTACTGGTTGCCATCTTTCTTGCTGAATTAACATCTTAGACGAAAACATAACTGAGCGCTAACGAAACTTAAGGCCATGCGTTGCCAAGCAGTAATGGACTGGAACAGCTTGATTGGAATTCTTTTGTTTTTCGAAAATTGTGTGCGCAAATTGAAGGTTACACCGAAGAATGACGCTTGCACAAACACGCTTTTTACTTTACCTTAACAACCTGTAGCCGATGAAGAATTAAATAGGCCATAAGGTGTACCTCTGTTCAAACTACGACCCCTTTAGATAAAAAGAGTCTTTTCAAATTTCTGCGCTTGAAGGCATAATGTCAGCCGCCATTTGTAGAAGCTCCTGAATGTACTGTAAGAAATTTTTTTTGGAAACGATTGCACAATTAGAATCAACAACCAGCAGTAGATACAACCTTCAAGTGACTTCTAATAGTTGCAACGTAAGAACGGCGCGCAGCAGAGTTTTTATCCGCTTGGTCAGATGTCGCTGCTGGGCTATCACCATTCCCTTCCAAAATAAAAGATTCCTTCATCTTCGTGGGCCTCGCTAGTAATCCGGAGAATTCTGCCGTCACTTCGTCCAACTCGGCTTCCAACTGTCCCAAAGTCTCTGCATCAACTTCAGAAACGACTTCGTTTACGTAAAGATAATTTTCATAGTTCTTAGCTACGACTTCCCCAGTTTTCAAGCGACGTTCAACTCTGATTGCTTCTTCGGTCAATTGACCAATTTCATCGTTGAAGTTTGCCTAAAGCACGAGTTCAAGACGCTGTAGTACTCGTCGTACGACCTTGTTCTTATGGGGCCGAAACCCAAGAAACAAGCACAACTTAAGGCGCTAAGATAGTGCGTGTTATAAGTTGTATGATTCCATTCGGGAGTTCTTCAGACGTTGAGATGCGAGAAACTCCAGCCTGGCACTAAGCTGATGTTTCTGCTCTCGTTTTGCCGATTCAGTTTTCACTTCCACTGCTATTCGTCGGATCGTTCCCTTATGCGAGCGAAGAAAATCATGCACGGCACATTAATTGATTAACATGTCAAAAGTTTTTACGCAGGACAGATGCATACAGTTCAAGAGTTCTCCGGTAATTCCGAAAGAAAGTTCATCAGGATGTTGAAATTACGTGGCATGAATTATTTCTTTGCGAAATCCCGAAGAGAACATTCACTCTGCCAATTATGTAAGAACTATACCACCTCGAAATGCCTTTTCCATGACTTGTGAACATTCTTGGACTGTACGCTCTTAAATTTGATAACATTATTGATCCTCGATCAGTTCATTGTTTCTGTTGCCCCATTAATTTCAGGTAGCGGGACGAATCACGAATACATGTAATGTACTCCTCACATCAGCATTTAATGTTCGGAGCCAAGTTTAGTTCGCACTTTTCTTCATCTCACCTCGACCTTCTTCAATGATTCGCGGAATCGTTGCAGGACCATTGGGACATCAGCGTGACATCTCCACTGTTGGAATCCAAGAACTAATCCTACAAGGATTCCAGGCACAGCAAAAAGAGGATAAAATGCAGGATGAACTTCCTGACCTTCACTCATCTTAAATTTAAACGCCCCATTCAGACGAAAGAATTCCTTCAACACGAAAGAAATATCCGTGTCTCATGCTAAAGAAGATATTTATTCAACTCGGTATGTTTGAAAATGAAATAAAAACATGGAAAATCGGAAGAACCTCTGTGGAAGCTCTGAAATTCGACGCTTGAACGAGAAAACCCGCATTTCTGAAGGCAATTGGAATATCCTTCCTTCTCCTTTCTCATAAAAAAAAGAATTGATAACAAAAATGTTGCGAAAATAAAGGAAGAGCAGACGAATTCCCGGAAAAAATCTAATCAAAATCAGCCATCCCGCCGTTGATGCGCACACTTCTTCCGGAAACCACCAAAAATGTATCATCCTGCAAATCTCGCAAAGCATCGTCGAACATATCT